GACATGGCTATATTTAATTTAGTCGAAATGGCCATTTGTGCAAAGAGGGAATGCTAGATAAAGACATGAAGAAAAATATTCTGAAGATGGTTCGACGGAGATGGTTTTGACACGTAATTTGAATTCAAATAAAGGAAGAAATTTGTGTTCTTATCAAGATTTATGAAGAAGGACACGTGGAGTTTTCCAAGGAAGAGAGACATGTCGAGCGCCACTTATCATTTATTTATGGTGTAACCGTTAGGGTCGGTTATTTTCTACCATTATAAATAGAAGGTCTTAGTGTTAGAATAGGGGTGTTCAAAAGTTTGTACAAAGTTTCTAAAATTACTCAAAGTATCTGCGTGTAGAGAAAAAAAGTATGTAGAAGGAAATGAACGTTTGATTACAAAATATCTTTATGTTTTTAATGCTAATTTTATCTTTTTATTACAAATTCTATCTCTTTAGTGTTCAAGTTATTTAACTGTCTTTTGATCAAGTTTCTACACTTTACTTCTTCTAAAATTCGAAGTTTTTAGTTGTTAGATCATGGATAATATTGGAATATTTATTATTCCCCAAACTCTTAATTAAGAATTGCTAGCACATGTCTTATGATTTGTATGGTCTATCCTGTACGTAACCCAATTTCTTTTAATTGGAAAAACCAGTGGTTGTTTACAATTTTTCCAATAAACAGCTGCATATAGTGAGGCTTAGGGCTGGTGAGTCGGCATGATATGATCATATATTTGTACTGCACTTTGCATCACAGAAGACGGTTCCCAGGCCAGGGGTATGATCCTTGTCTCTACTCATGAGATTTGGTTCAGATTAAGGTGGGTGTCTTCAGGCTTCTCCGTCTAACACCCTTGGATTGGCTAGATCCCATTGGGGGGGGGGTGTCACAGCGCAAATAATACCCGAGCGTACGAGCGCTCAAAATACAATAAAGCCACAACCGAAGTTTATTTTTTAAACGAAAAACATTGATAAAACCCTAAAATAATAAAAATATGGTCATCGCGACCAACTTCAGGTTTGTGAGTCAGTTATGCTCGGGAAAGGTATTAGCACCCCACACATCCCTTGTACTCAATGGGAACCGTTTAGTCAGTTTTACAAATAAGAGTGTTAGCATATGTTATTTTATTTCTTATAATTATTAAAAAGGTTTACGTGAAATGAAAAAAGATTAAAAATAATTTTTTATTAAGGTACTCGACGAGACGTTGAATTTCACCCCTACGTATCCCCAGGTGCGATGAGGAACTTAAATATATGTAGTTCTTTGTAGCAAACATTTGTTTGTTGGTTGGTTTTAGTGAAGTATGTTTAGGTCGCATTTAAGAAGTTAAATGTTGCTTTTTCATCGCGCATGGGAAGAATGAAGTGTTTGCTTGTATTATGTTGGAATGGATAAAATATCATTCATTTGTGAAAAATTTTGTTCATTACACTGAGATGGAAAAATATAAGTTTGATGAGTTGAATTTATTTTTAGTTGGATGAAGAGTATTCAAATGATAAGCTATACAACTTGTATCTGAATACTCGGGGTAGAAAGAGGCTTACGCCCAAGTAATCCTTTTTCATCTTATTTTATGATAAAATATGTGAGGCAAACTGAGTCATGATTTCTTAACGGAAGAATATCATCTGAAAGGAAATCTATATGGCTTGTATCTAAATACTCGGGGAAAAAAGAGGCTTATGCCCAATTAATCATTTTTCTTGCACGAAAGAATGAACTAAATTTGATTAATTATTGTATTTTTGACTTGAAGAAGAACATTCAAAAGATAAACTATACGACTTGTGTCAAAATACTCGAAGAAAAAGAGGCATACACCCAATTAATCCCTTTTCATCCAGTTTTATTTGTGAAAAGAATTGTTGGTTTGAATATGAAAATAAAATTGATTTTATAATGTGATAGAACTCTATTTTTAAGATGTTGAAAATGATATTAACTTTGATTTTGTAATCTCTAAAAAATTTAATTGTATTATTTAACTAAAAGAAAAAATTAAAATCAAGAAATAAAATAAAAGTTTTGGGGCATAAGCAGTAATATTTGGGGTTGGCAAGAAAAAAAAGAATGGACTTAAGGCCCGTCAATTAATGAAAAAATAGATTAGGGGGTATGGATCAGTAACCTGAGAGGCCCAATATTGGAGGGGTCCCAAAATTCTAAACTAAGGGGGGGAAATTATGCACACACATGGCCATCTGATGAAGATCATATGACCCTGATTGAGTCTCAAGATTAAGTATACTTGACCACTAGATCATAGTCAAAGGGCTAAGGTTCACGGAGCTATGGTGGGGACCCCTATACATGAGTCCCTTGAGGAAATGATCAAATAGCTCATCACGAGGCCAAGTGGCCATCGGATCAAGTAGCTCTTATGGATTCTCCTTTTCAAACCTTATATCTCGTTTCAAATCCTCTTTTTTCTCTAAGCCTCCTTGTTTTCACGTACTGACAAAAGATTCCCTAAACCTAAGTTTTCTAACTTTTAGAATATATAATATTCTAATTATTATTGCATAATTATTATTATTACCCAACTAACTTTCAGCTTCTTTCCTCTTACTTCATACTTTCCTCAAATTACATATTTGGCCCAATTCCTCATATATTACTAATTTCTCATTTTATTTTTAATATTAATTAAAAATACAATTATTATAATTTCTAAGTATTCTACCAAACACCTATATTCTCACCACACCCTACTAATACCCTTACACCTCAACAACACATATAATTACCAAATTATTTTAAAAGCACACCAACACCAAATAATTAAATAAAAATCTAAATAATTAAGTTAAATTAATTAATTGAATTTAGGGTGTTACATATATGGCCATCTGAGGATCATACAAGTGATGGAAACAAATATTTTGTCTCATTTGTTGATGAGTATAATAAAAAACTCTAGATCTATGTGATTAAGCGTAAAGATAAAATATTTGTAATCTTTAAGCGATTCAAAATACTTGTCGAAAACCAAAGTGAAAAGAAGATCAAGATTCTAAGAACATATGGATATGGCAAATACACATCCAAGTTATTTGGGTAATTATGTGTAGAACATAGTATTGATCATGAGGTAACTGATGCATACTCGCCTCAATATAATAGAATAATAGAAAGAAGAAATAGAACTAAATTAGATATGGCTAGAAGAAAGTTGAAGTAAGAGAATCTGTCAAAATCCCTTTGGGGTGAAGCAGTCACCAATGTTGCCCATATACTAAACATATGCCTTACCAAGATACTAAAGAACAAGATTTTTAAATAAGTGTGGAGTGGCAAAAGACCATCAATATGTCATCTGAAGGTGTTTGGCTCTATCTACGACAAACATGTTCCTAATGCAAAAAGGAGAAAGCTTGATGAAAAAAGTGAACCTATGATTCTGGTAGGATATCACAAAACTGAAGCATACAGACTATTCAATCCAATCAATGGTAAGATCTTGGTGATTTGAGACATTGTGATTGATGAGAACTCTACCTGAAATTAGGACTCAAATGAACCCAACAAACCATTGTTGAGTTATGACCTTGATGAAGAAAGTAGTGATCATGATGAGGTTTTAGTTAATGACCTCCCAATAGTTACTGAAGTTGCAACTATCGAAGCAGAAAATCATGAGGGTGTGTCAGACACAAGACAAAAACCTCAAAGAACCAGATTTGTCCAAACAAGACTTTAAGACTATGAAGTGGTTGGTGATGATGAAGTCACACTAGATGGAGACTTTGTTCATTTTTATTTACTTGCAAGTGGTGAACCAATCAACTATAGTGATGCCTTAAAGAATGAACATTGAAAGGAAGCTATGGTCGAAGAGTTACAAGCCACTAAAAGAAGCAATATGTCGGAGCTAGTCGAATTGCCAACACACTTAAAAGTTATCAAAGTGAAGTGGTTGTTTAAATTGAAGCACAATCTTGGTTAGTCAATTATAAGGCATAGAGTAAAATTAGTAGCACGATGATTTCTTCAAATAACAAGACTCGACTACTCTGAAATATATTCACCAGTTGCAAGAATGGAGACTATCTGAAATATATACACCAGTTGCAAAAATGGAGACTATCAGACTAGTGGTAACCTTAGCATGCAAGCAAGATTGGTCGACATTTTCTGCATCTTCACCTATTAAACGATTCTTGTTCGTTTCTTGATTTGAACTGTTCTATCCTCTCTTCCTTTTTCATTTATGTGTATCTTTGATGATAAAGATACTATTTTATTTTGTTCAAGAGAACTCAGAAAGAATGAAAAAAATTGTTATTGTCATCTTAATGGTGTCTATTTTATAGATATTTTATTCCAAAAGTCACATCTCATCCCAAAAATCATGTTCCAATAGCTATGAAGAGAGAGAAAATAAATTTACATTTTATTTTAAATTTCAAAATAAAAAATCTATTAGCTTAATTATCCAATCAAACTCAAACAATCGTAATAATTAGACATCATTTATTTAAAGTCAAATTTGATAGATGGATTAATAATCCAACATATGCTCCTAAGACATATGAGGAAATGATAATAATTACAATTCCATGCATTTGGTGTATGTAGCATAGTGTATGAAATGGTTTGGCCTATGATGTGAATGATAGCAGATTTATGGTTGATCTATCCCCATTGTGTTGGTCTACATTCAAGTGGATCTTAGAAATACTTGGATGGTTCTCTATCAACTAGTTTGAAATTCAAAATATATCATCATAACAAGAAACCAATCATGGGATATGTTAGACTCATATTATGCAAGAAATGAGGACACCAGAAAATAACACTCTTGTTAATGTAATATCATTTTCATATTGAATCAAATTAATCATGTACAATATATTTTGATTCTCATATTGAACCATTCAATTTGAGACCTAAATACATATTCACATTTTGAAATCTTTAAATCTAGTATCAATATATATTATATACAAGCAAATTAAAATAAGTATTTCTATGATCCTATTATAACCTATTTATGAAAGAAAAATCCAGGTTCATATGGAATAGCAGTACTTTTCAACCATTGATTTGCTTGAATAAACTCATCAGCTGTAAATTTCATCATTTCACTTTTATGATTCTGAGAAACTTCTCTAAAACTCTCCCAATGCACCCTTTTACCAGTTATTGCACCAATTCCTCTGTTATTATGCTCTATAAAACTTGCTGTATCAACTCCATAGTTATCACTCCATTGACACCAACCTCTCGGACGAATCACATCGCCGAGAAATGATTCCATTACGACTGTTCTCGAATACTCGTTACACGGAATCCCCAAACACGTCGAACCAACAAGACTGTGATTGTTCTGATTGGTTTCGCCTTGTTCTGCTATAATAGTGCAGTTTTGTATCACAAAACCAGTTCTTTCATGTTTGTCTATTCTTGACTGAAAACTCATCACTTTTTTCCTTGGAACTATAGAAGAATTTTGAGGCTTCACTATGATTCGCGAGTTTTGAATCATAGTCGCGGAGTCGCCTTTTATAATGTCTACACTTCCATGAATTTCGCAGTTTCCATAGAATTGGCGATTCGCCACCGCGTATAAGCTTCCTTCTCCGCCGTCGATTTTGCAGTTGAAAAATGCTGCGTGATCACAAAATACTAGAAGTGCTGGTGCATCTGCTATATGAGCAGGTGCAGTGAATCCCATATCTTTGCAAATGAATCCTTTCCCTTTCACCACTGCATTTCACAGAAACTCAAAATCAGATTAATCATTTTTAACATTTAATTTCATATAGTTTGAATTAGTGTTGAATAGGCTAAGTAGTTAGTTACCAAAACTGGCCGAACGAAAAGGCGTTGTAACAATCGTCGTGTTGATTCCGGTGACAACGGTTTGCGTAGGGCCATCGCCATACATGAACACATGTTCTAAATTCTTTGGTATCACAACTCTCTCTTCATATACACCTTTCATCACATAAATAACACATGAAGGTTGTTTATTTCGCGCGCAAGCATTGAGTGATTCCGTTATCGTTGTAAAATGGCCGCGACCATCTCGAGCAACAATTATTCTTTTATTCTCATGATCAACTTCCACAGCTTGAAGATTTGCTCTCGTGAGCATTTTCTTAAACCCTTCCTCGAAAACCGGCTTCTCGAAGAAATTATCAACAATGGCTAATGTAATCCTGGTAAGAACCAAAGGTAGTTTCAAAGAATATCCCAAAATATCAAAATTATTTGTTATCATCAACTCATTAGAACATGTTTGTTGATACGATATGATAGCACTTAGACTATTGATAATTTCTTTCGAGTCCACAGACGAATTCGCCATCACATAAACTCGTTCTAGCTCATCTTTTCCCATACTCAACAACTCCAAACAATCTCTATACGATTCTCTCTGCAAAGGAGTTAAGAATCCTTCAGAATCAGGTTTTGGTATATTAACTATCATTAATTCTTTGAGAGTTGCGTTAATAGCAACGTTAATATAATCCAAAGGCGAAGCTCTTTCGCCTATACGTTTTAAGACATGAAGACAGGTTCCTGGTGATTCTGTTTTTGCACAGATATATTTAACGCTCTTAAAGTTTCCTTCGTTTTTGGTGCCACCACTTAGGTTGGCAAAAACAGCAACGGTTACCGATGCAAGAAGTAACATGGAGACACCCATGATTACTATGTTGGAAACATAATCCTCTTCTTCTTTTGAATCATCATCCATTTCGTTGTGAACGTCTGCAAGACCTCCATAATTCATATTCAGTTAAATCAACGTATGCTGATTTAATTTTAAGATACGAATCACTTTGTTTTATGACAATACCAATATGATTGATCTTGAAACTCTTTGCTGAATGATGTTAATGATTATGTGTTTGTTTACTTTATCATATAGAGTTTAGAGGATACGGTAATGTTTGCTATCTACCTGAGATATCAACTATTTTTAGAGAACAAACAAAATAATATTAGGTGGAATTTTTCTATAATACTTATCAAATATGAAATTTTACATTGACTCAAACAATTTTTTATTAACTGAATTATTTGTTAATAAAGGTGTATCGAATATCCAACAAATTTTATGTGTTGTAATGTCTTGATATGTTGTTGTTTGTACCAAACATTTGTTTGTTAGTTGGTTTTTGTGAAGTATGTTTAGGTCGCATTCGAGCCGTTAAATGGAGTTTGTTCATTCGTGTATGGGCAGAATAAAATGTTTGCTGGATAAAATATCATTTATTTGTAAAACAAAAATGATATTTTGACACCCAATCCTTACACTACACCAGTGTTTCACGTTTCACCAATACGGTGAATAGTGAAATATTATAAAATTAAATATATTTTAAAAAATATATATTAAAAATTAATTTTTTTTTATTTTTAAATTAAATGATACTAATATGAAATTGTGTGATTAATCAATTTCATAACTCCATTAACCAACATTTTACATATTATTAACTAACTTTATTTATCGTTAAAAATTATTTTTAATTCTGAGTGTTTATTAACCAATTTCATCACTTTATTAACCAACTTTTTATATTTCATTAACCAACTTTTTATAATTCATTAACCAACTTTGTTTTATAACTTAAAAAACTATTCACGAGCCACTGTTCATGCACTATTCATGGTACTGTTCATACTGTTGTAACACTATTCTGAACTGTTCATGTACTGTTCACTGTATCGGTGAATAGTGCATACAGTGTAGTGTAAGAGTTGGGTATCAAAATAGCACTGCTGTTTGTGAAAATATTTGTTCATCACGCTGAGATGGAAAAATGTAAGTTTGACGAGTTCAATTTATTTTTAAGTGGATGAAGAGTATTCAAATGATAAGCTATACGGTTTGTATCTGAATACTCGGGATAGAAAGAGGCTTACGCCCAAATAATCCTTTTTTCGTCTTATTTTATGATAAAATGTGTGAGGCAAACTGAGTCATGATTCCTTAACGGAAGAATAACATCTGAAAGAAAAGCTATATGGCTTGTATCCAAATACTCAAGGAAAAAAGAGGTCTATGCCCAATTAATCCTTTTTCTTCCACGAAAGAATGAACTAAATTCGGTTAACTATTGTATTTTTGACTGGAAGAAGAGCATTCAAAAAACAAACTATACGACTTGTGTCAAAGTACTCGGAGAAAAAAGAGGCATACACCCAATTAATCCTTTTTCATCCAGCTTTATTTGCAAAAATAATTGTTGGTTTGAATATGAAAATAAATTTGATTTTATAATGTGATAGAACTCTATTTTTAAGATGTTGAAAATGATATTGACTTTGATTTTGTAATCTCTAAACAATTTAATTATATTATTTAACTAAAAAAAATTAAAATCAAGAAATAAAATAAAAGTCAGGGGGCGCAAGCAATAATATTTGGGGTTGGCAAGAAAAGAAAGAATGGACTTAAGGCCCGTCAATTAATGAAAAAATAGATTAGGGGGTATGGATCAGTAACCTGAGAGGCCCAATATTAGAGGGGTCCCAAAGGTCTAAACTAAGGGAAAAAAAGTATGCACACACATGGCCATCTGGTGAAGATCATGAGTCTGATTGAGTCTCAAGAACAAGTATACTTGGCCACTAGATCATAGTCAAAGGGCTAAGGTTCATGGAGCTATGGTGGAGACCTCTGTACATGAGTCACTTGAGGAAATGATCAAATAGCTTAGCACGAGGCCAAATGGCCATCAGATCAAGCAACTTTTATGGATTCTCCTTTTCAAACTTTATATCTCCTTCCAAATGCTCTTTTTGCTCTAAGCCTCCTTGTTTTCACCCACAGAAAAAAAAAGTTTCCTAAACCTAAGTTTTCTAACTTTTAGAATATATAATATTCTAATTATTATTGCATAATTATTATTATTACCCAACTAACTTTGAGTTTCTCTCCTCTTACTTCATACTTTCCTCAAATTACAAATTTGGCCCACTTTCTCATATATTACTAATTTCTCATTTAATTTCTAATATTAATTAAAAAATACAATTATTATAATTTCTAAGTATTCTACCAAGCACCTATATTTTCACCACACCCTACTAATATCCTTACACCTCAACAACACATATAATTACCAAATTATTTTAAAGGCACACCATCACACCAAATAATTAAATAAAAATCTAAATAATTCAATTAAATTAATTAATAGAATTTAGGGTGTTACATATGTGGCCATCTGAGGATCATACCATTGGTGGAAACAAATACTTTGTCTCATTTGTTGATGAGTATAATCAAAAACTCTAGATCTATGTGATTAAGCGTAAAGATAAAATATTTGTAATCTTTAAGCGATTCAAAATACTTGTCGTAAACCAAAGTGAAAAGAAAATCAAGATTCTAAGAACATATGGATATGCCAAATACACATCCAAGTTATTTGGGTAATTATGTGCAGAACATAGTATTGATCATGAGGTAGCTGCGGCATACTCGCCTCAATATAATGGAATAATAGAAAGAAGAAATAGAACTAAATTAGACATGGCTAGAAAAAATTTGAAGTAAAAGAATCTGCCAAAATCCCTTTGGGGTGAAGCAGTCACCAATGTTGTCCATATACTGAACATATGCCCTATCAAGATACTAAAGAACAAGTGTTGCGGTGGAAATAGGATATCAAATTATTAATTAATTTGAATCACAATGCAATTCACAACCGCTCTTTGATTTATCCAAAGGAAAAGGTCAAAAGAGGAAAAACCTATTTTTGCATCGTAAACAAACTGCGGGGAGATACCTAGGTAAGGGGTTGGTTAAACTTAGGGAAGGTATTAGCATCCTAAACTTATGTAGTACTCTACAGGAACCTTTTGTTTAAATTTACTATTTGCTTTAATTATTTGGCAAGACATCGCATCTTATGCCTACATATCCTGACGGGAATGGAATCAGAGTAATTGTAGTTCCCCTCGAAAGGGAGGTTAGAAACTTCTTGACTGTGGTCAAGGTTTCAAGGGGAGTAAACGTATCTTAAGGATACGCTTACGTGGAGTGCGGAGACTCCAATTTTTTACGTTGAAATTGTTAATTGAAATTAGGGTTAAATTAGGCATTCCACGGCGAGAAACCCTAAAGCAGAGTGCGGCGACTCGTTGACCTAATGCTAGGGTAAAAGGTAAAATTGTCCACGGCGGGACGCCTATGAATTAGGGTTTTGGAAACGGTTAAGGATTAAAGATGAGGACTATTGACACGGCGGTCAAACGGTTAGACCTAATCCTTCGGAGAGAAAATAATGGTGGACGATGAATAATGTAAGATAAATAAAATTACAGATAATGTTGAGAAATAAAATATACAAATGTGAATAATAATGAAATAAGAAACAACGGTATTGTTAAATAATTTACAATCTTGTAAATAAAATATAACAATAAAAGGTTAGTAACAATTTTATGTACAATTGAGAACGATGAAAACAGGAATTGAAACTAAACAGGATAAGATTTTTGTGAGGTTTTGAGAAAAAGGCTTGGTCATTTATGTTGTGAAAAGGTGGGAGTTTTTATCTTAGAAAAAGGGTTTTTATTTTAATTTAAAAAAAATGTTAAATTTTAGTTTTTTAGAAAAAAGTTTTAGTTCTAAAATTTAAAAAAAAAGGTTTTGTTAGTTCAAATTTTAAAAAAAACATTTTTTAGTTTTAATAAAAAGTGTTTTAGTTTTAGTGTTTTAAAAAAGCTTTAGTTTTAATATTTTTTAAAAAAAGGGTTTTTCTAAATAATAAAAAAAAGTTAATTTTATATTATAAAAAAAAATTAGTTTTATTTTTATAAAAAAACATGTTAGTATAAGTTAAATTATTCCTTTTTGTTTGTTAAGAATTACAAGAATAAAAGTGAATAATAAAACAGAATAACAATAAAAAAAAATGAAACAGAAAATTAAAACGGGTCGGGCTGGGTGGTCAGGCCCCAGACCCGACCCGGTTCGCCCAGCATATAAAAGGGGCAAAAAAAACCATTAGGGTTCATAACCCTAACTCCTCCCGCGGTGGCTTCTCTCTTCTTCGTCTTCTCCGAATCTTGCATGACTTCCGTTTTCTTTTCTGTTCATCGTGCTTTTTGTTCACCATAATCTTCTTCTTTTTCTTTTCTTACGGCGGCTATGCTACGATTCCGGCCGATGATGTACGTTTTGAGGCCACGAAGATTGATTGCCCGCCGTTTGTGATGAACGGCGATGGCGGTCTCCGATTCGCTTTGTTGTTCGTAGTGGTGGCGGTTTGGGTGAGATTGATGGCCGATGATGAGTATGGGACTCTGAGGCTTGCGGTTTGTTCGCGTGGGATCCTTGGCCGTGAGGGTTGTTCGTTCTTCCTTCCTCTCTGTTTTATATTCACCTTTATTTGATCTTTGTGGGCTTGGATGATGTGATTTACGTTACTTTTTCGATCCAGATTTTGTTCATTGATTTTGGATGATTTTTGTAGATTTGATTGCTGGATATTCATGGATCTTTGATGGAAACAAATTTGGATTTGGGGTTTGTTGTGGATCGGGAATGGATATTGGATTTTGGTTCCGGATTCGGATTTTCTTCTGATATGATTCTGGCTTGTTGGATTTCGTTTTTTCTTCTTCTCATAATCCGGGTTTACTTGAAATCCATGGATTTCTGTTATTTACTTGATGGAATGGATTTTTGACTCTGGATTTTGTTGCCGTGAATCTGGGTATTTTACTTGATGGAAACAAATTTGGATTTTTCTTGGATATCTGTTAGCGACC